TCTCTCAGCATACCCAAGGGTGCTGAAGAAGAGGATGTGGTAAATCCTGCCCTGAGCCATTCCCCCATAAAAGTGAATAGGCAGACTGAACAACGGGATGGGGCAACTGAAGGTACAAGGTAAAACACACCCATAGTGACGGGAAGATGCCACCATGCACCTTTCCCAGAAGCTGCTGAATGCAAAGCAAGCACATAGAGAGGGCAGAAGAAGATGGAGGTGCCTCGATGACTAATAAAACAAACAGTGGGTGTTCCCTGAGGCTGTAAGGGGAAAAAGCAAATGCTGGGAAGCAAAGCCCAACACACCGCTGTACAGACCAGCCGAGACCTCACCTAGTGGGGCAGCGGTGCCAGCTCTATAGGAACCTGTGGTGCTGCCGATGCTTCCCAAGCGGCATCAGGGCTTTTCCCAAGGCAGAGAATTTCGGTGCTGGAGATGACGGCACTGCCAGCCCCGGTGCAGGTAGTGAGCACCTCCCATGCCTCCTCCTCTTCCGTCTTCTTGAGTGGATTAAGATAGTTAACAGCTCTCTTTAACGAGCTCATTTACCCCCTGGCAGTCAGATCCTTCAGCTGCCCTCAGAGCTTTGAGGCTCATTTCTGCAAGCCCGACAGCAAGCTGCCAAGCTGGTCATTGCTCCTTGGGGCAGCTGGAACAGCCCTGCATGCCCAGGTCCATCTGCAGGACAGACGTTGTGCTCATGACAAGAGCTATGCTCCCGGGCTGAGCCTGCCTGCAGGCACTGGTACCATCCCACGTGCTTTGAACCCCACAGGTGGTATTTGCAGCTCAGTCTGGCCAGTGTGCTGCTCTCAAGCAGTTCAGACCTGGCTCCCAAGGCCAGACTAGTGCCAGCCAGGCTGCTGGCTAGTCCAAATCCCTCCGTCCAGAAGCAAGCTCAACACCACTTACCAAGAAACATGGTCCCAGTGGAGCTGCGTTGGATGCTCCTCTTCCCTTAGCTCTCTGGCTTAGTGCTGTGAGGGGCTGGCTGCAGCCTGGCAACGGAAGGGCAGCTAAACACCCCTGCAGTAGATGCTGGCTTTGTCCAAATGCTGTTTCTCATAGTAACTATAAGCCTTCACAAAAGGTGCCAGTAATATTCTCTGGCTCCAGGATTGAAATACTGGACCAACTGGGCAGTCCTGGCCAAGATGCACTGTGCAAATCAAGGACAGTGACAACTTGGTACCTGTCCCCTGTGCATATATAAAAGAAGCCACAAACCCACTGGGAGCAGGGAACAGGACTGGCTGTCTCTTCTCCCATGTCTCTTCTGGGGAAAACGCTCAGTGTCCTGAGCTATGTAGCATTTGCACTGTGGTAGAAATCAGCACACTTGTTGGACCGCCCGTGTTTTTCCCCCTCTTCCATCACCAGCCCTACTAGTGAACTGTGCAAGCCATTCCTTTTTTATACTGACATTTTTGTTTCTCCCTTTGCAACCTGAAGCATTTCTTGGGTTAACTGGAAACTTCTTTTGCTGCAGTCCCTCAGAAATTGGTACCAGTTTCAGAGATCAGGGAAGCTCCCGCTGTAAGGAATTCCTGGCACAAGGCAAGAAATTGGGAATTATTTTGCTCACGACAATGCGATGTTTTTAGAGCAACCTCTCCAGTTTCACTCCAGAAGAATTATAATCATCTCAGCACAAAGAAATTCGCAGTGGAATTATTTATTTCATCTTCCCCTTTACTGCAGGAGGAATGATTTTTAACTGAGCCCAAATGCACTTGCGTTGAGTGGGTTGCTAATTAAGCTACAGATGTCTCCTGATGGCAGCAATTATTCCTGGTAACTTTAATGAGCTTGTTACATTCCTTAGCTATTGTTATGAAAAGTTATATGAAATACTTTGCTTAATACTACACAGCTCCCAGAGGAATGACTTCTTGATCTGTTCTGGTTTGATTAAAGAGAATGATCATTTTCTTTCTTAGCAGTATTTCTCCACTTGTTTGTGGCTCATTTCCCTTGTCTTTTGCTGGCCTTTAACAATTCTGACCATTTTCTTCACAGAAATCACCTTTTCTAACTTTTTTTTTTTTTTTTTAACCCTATGGTGTATTCTTTTTTTAACTCTACAGTGTCTTTGCCTGGCTTATTGCAAGCTTTTTTTCCTCTCTTATCCATTGATCTGTTCTGTCTCAAACATTACAGTTACTTACAACAGGGACCTAATGCTGATCATAACTCTGTGGGGTTTTCTTAGAATCACCTCACACTAAACCATGTCACCTAAGTCTTCGTCCAACCTGGCCTTGAACGCTGCCAGGGATGGAGCATTCACAACCTCCCCGGGCAACCCATTCCAGTGCCTCACCACCCTAACAGGAAAGAATTTCCTCCTTATATCCAATCTAAACTTCCCCTGTTTAAGTTTTAACCCATTACCCCTTGTCCTACCACTACAGTCCCTAATGAAGAGTCCATCCCCAGCATCCCTACAGACCCCCTTCAGATACTGGAAGGCTGCTATGAGGTCTCCACGCAGCCTTCTCTTCTCCTTGTTGTTACAGGTCATTACAGTTGCAAGAAAAGCATCTACTTATACTGGTACTTGAGGAAAAATTTCACTCCAGTGTACGGAAAATACAGATCTCCTTAAAACAATTAACAGAATTAAGAGAATGAGCTGAGTAAGCTAACTAAGCACAGCTTTGCATGTCCCCTCTTCTCTCCTGTGCCTTTGTACATATAAAATTCAATGAACATGCTACACAACAAGCAAAATCATCAAGGGAATAAAGGATTTCATTATGTTTCGAACCAAAAGAACACTTTTTCCTTTTTTATCCATATTTATTGTGTTGGCACTCCCACTCTATTCCTCCTGAAGCCTCCTACCATAGGCAAGAGGTGCACAGAAAGCATGTCAGTGGTTAAGACTATTTCTCATGGCTTAGTACTGATCCCAGGAGCATCAAAGTCCATAAGAACGTGTGAACTTCCCATCAGAATCACATGCAATTACGATTAAACTGCAGAGTTAAATAGATTCCTGACCAGCACAACACATTGTGGAAAGCAGCCAGACTCCAGTCACTAGTTCCTGATCAAGCCATTAAATCACCATGGTTTTCAAAAGCATTCAGGGATGATCCTGTTTTTCTGACATCAAAACCAAAGGAAGCCTTAAGAGCACCTTCCCCAAGAGCAGTTAAAGCAAGTAAATGTAGCAGCTTTTCAGTATCCCACCCACCCAGTTGCTACCTCCTTCTGAGCTAACTCAAGCACACATGAAAGCATAGCTGGCAGGGTATCTTTCAACAAAGCTTTCCTTGCAGGAACTGTTGATTCACTGAAATAAACTTCATACAGAAATGTTTCTGATGAAACATTTAAAGCCCTGGATGGCATTTCCAGCTGAAACCAGAAAGTCAGAGGAGCTGGTCTGATAGCTCAGAGACATAGTGAAACTGGCAGGGACAGCATTTAGGTCTGGGAGGTTAGGCTGCTGAGCAGCCTTGCTTGAAGGCTGTCAGCAGTGCCTCCTCTGCTCTGCCTTCGAATAAAACAAATGGGAAAGCCTCAGCATCTCATTGTCAGAGTTCTCATCTTCCAGTCTGCGTTCAATGGGCAAGCGGACACCAACTGAAGCAGCAAGTAAGGAACTTGCTCAAGCTCACAGAATCCTCAGAGTGGTAAATGGGCAGTGATGGCCTCCAGTCCAACCTCCCACAAAAAGCAGGACTGTCATCACCACTAGCACTGGCCAGTGCAGCTTTGTTCAGCCATGTCATGAATACCTCCAGGCAGAAAAGATCTGTCTGCCCCTTGAGGCAGCCTGTTCTGCAGCACCACTCTCCAAGGGAAGTCACTCTGTCTCACGTTCAACCTGAGCCTGCCATTTGCCACAGTGCCAGCAGACACCACAGAAGATTTGGTTCTGCCATCTTTATTATACAATCATGGAATGGTTTGGGTTGGAAGGGATCTGAAAGATCATCCAGTTCCAATCCCCTGACACAGTCAGGGACACCTTCCACTAGACCAGACTGCTCAAAGCCCTGTACAACCTGGCCTTCAAAACTGCCAAGGATGGAGCAGCCACATCTCCTCTGGGCAACTTGTGCCAGTGCCTTACTACCCTCATAGCAAAGAATTTCTTTCTAATGCCTGTACAAGCCTGCTACTGGATCCCCCTTCACTCTTTCCAGGCTTAGCTTAGGACACCTCTGAATCTATGGGACACCTTCCCCTCTTTTTGACACCTAAGAGTAAAGATGCCCAGACATACTCTGCCATACCAGAAGAAAAGGCTCTACAGAAAGGTAAGCTGAGACATGTTGCATGATGGATTCAGCCCTGACACGGGTGGCAGCACTTTCCTGATTGCCTTTCCCACTAAAAGCTTCAATCTCACAACAAGAGCTAACACAATGCTGTTCTGTTTGGGAGAGTGGTGTGAACTCTGCACTCAAAGAAGTGTTTGTTCCAGTTCAAGCTCTGGCGTTTTAAACAAGGGCAGTTAAATGCACTGAAAATGCTATTGCAACATGAAGGCTAAAAATAAAAACACAAAATGTCAGGAGTCACTCAGAAGGAAAAGCTCCTGAAGAAATGCCCACTCACCCACACTGCACAAGCGTAACATCGCTCCTGTGACAGCTTGCATTTCGAAGCCAGATAAACAAGCCCAATTCAGCCTATTTTCTACTGCCAGAATTTTACACCCTTTCAGCATTAAAAGTGGCACCACTTGGGAAATCTCTGATCTGCACCAACAGGTAGGTCCCCAGTGCTACTGTTTGGTACAGATGCGAGTGCTTACGGGTGTAAGTTTGTACCTGCGAATCCTAAAGCACTCCTAATTTATACCACAGAATGTAAACTTCAGAAGAAACATGTGCAGTACAGGTTCATGGATGCTTTAAAGAACCTAACAGCATCCTTACCCTTCAAAAAAAAAAAGAGTTCTAAATTTATAGCCTTCACCTGACAATAACAGCGTCCTGAACACGCTTTGCTTTGTAAAATGCACTGAATGCTCAGACTTCAGTAAAAAAAATTTATTTTCAATATAAAAGTGCCAAAATATCCACCAACATTGTAATCTATTCAACAACCAGCTTACTCTAGTAATCAAAATTGCAAGCATCTTTATTCACATTTTAAAATCAAATTCCTTTCACACGTTTCCACAGTAACCCGAGTCCCTCGAAAGTGGGAAATTTGCATTTCGATTGGCTGCTGTAGTCCATATGTCCAAGTTCATGTAGGCACGGAAGGGGTTAAACCTTGGATAGTATTCCTGCTTACACATAACTGCCTGGTTCTCCACATGGGTTGAGTGCTGGGTCGTGGCACTGACGGGGCAGCAGCTTTCATATACATCACTCTGAGGTGCCCAGATGGAACCAAAAAGTCCAGACATTGGAGACAAGCTTCGGGTGCTTGAGAGGTAGGGCTGTAGGGCAAAATAAAATCATAATGGGAAACTGCAAAATGGACCAGTTAGAAGAAAATGTGGAGATGTAGTACTGAGTGAGAGGAAGATGAATCTACACAGAGAACTTGGGAAACACACAAGTAGAAAACTGCACAAGTTTACAAAGCAGTATGTTTGCAGAAAATATTACAACAGCCCTAGTGTGTGTGTGCAAAGGCACTTTGCTAAATGAAGCCATATGAGCTCCTCCCTGCATGGCACTGATATTACTGTAACAGGAACACAATATTCAGTGCTGGTCAGGCTGTTAAGAAAAATAAGAGAGAAATGGAAGACGCAAAGAGCACCACATATGTTTTGAGAGTTAAAAGTGAAGGACGCCTAAGAAATGACAAGAAAAAGGTTGAAGTACGTGTTAGTACTGAACGACTGAATGCTGGGAGCAGAGAGGGGTACTCACTGTGGAAAAGAGACTATAATTGGGAGCTAGGGAATTTAGTTAGAAAATTTCGAAAGCTTATAAAGAACCTCCTGGAGGGCAAGATGTGTTAGGCTGTGAGGAAATCCTCTCGGAGAAGGTCATAGAAGTCTTGGGACTTTTAAAACTGAATGAAACACTGAAATGTATTGTGGGGAAAAGCTCGCCAGGGAAATGAACTGAATTATCTAATGTATTTTCCAATCTTTACCTTCTCTGTTTCCTGGCGTTCCTGAATAAAATATAAAATAACGCCACATCTATGTTACCAAACAGTCTTCTACCAGTTTTGCCACTTTTTAACACTCAGAATTTTCACTTTTGCAGTTGGAAACATTTCTTGATTTGGTTAGTTTTAGTCAAAATAAACCTACTGTAAATAAAAAAATAAAATTCTAAACTAGACTATTTTGAAATATGAGCAGAAAAGAAGGTGGTTACTATTAAAGACCACCTTGAACCAAAGTCACTACACTGAACTATGGGATGACATATGCATGGCTAGTCTGGAGCCCAACAGGTCAAAGTCAGCACTCAGAAATCCGCACAACTCCAGCTTAAATCACTTGGATTTCCTAGCATAAAAAACCTGTCAAAGTCACTGAGAGCAGCTGTCCATTCAGCTCTACAATTTCCAAATCTCTCTGGGTTCTGCTGTCAGCACATTTTGTGTTTTACCCTCATCTGGAAAGGTTGATTTTGATAGGAAAAGTCTCAATAGACTATATAGTGCAAAATGTTTTTTTCCATAGGCAAGATGATTTTAGTCAATTTTCAGGCAAGACGATCTGTCTTAAAATTTCACAGACATGGTCCAGTAGCAACCTTGACCAACAGCTGGGAAAAAGCCAGGCCACCAATGCCAGCATCACATACATACACCAGGCTAAAGGATTCATGAAGAATGTGCAAGCAACAGGTAGAAAAGACAGGAACGCACTGGGAAGGCTTTGAAGAGGTGCACAAAGGCAGAGCCTTGCAGTGACAGTACTCACCGTGGAGCTGACATAACTGGTGGGCTCCCAGGCGGGTGGCATGTTGGGAGGTGCATTCCAGGTGGAGGGACAGTTCTGGTCAATAAAGGCTGTATTCTGCACAGCTGCAGTACCTGGGAAGCCACTAGGGTAGTTCATGTTTTCTGCAGTTTATAAAAGCAGGAAGACAAAGTAAGACTTTTACAATATAAACTCTTAACATTTCAGTGGAGAAGCATTGAATCTTCTTGGAGTGAGCCAGGCTGGAACCAGCTTAAGCCTTCAGTGACTTCAGGCAGCTTCAGGGCAGCACAGCAGCAAAGCGTAACAATTTCTGTTAACAGGAGTACCATTCTGTATTAGGGACCCACTAACAAACTGCTACTAGGAAGACAGGATAAAGGGTTGGCAATCTCTCTACTGGAAAGCAGAGTCTTTATCTCGCATGGCAGAGCCTACCCAGGCTTCACTGCCAACATGCCTCAGCTCTAAGCACCTGAGGGATCACCGCGCTGCCTGTGATACTGTAGCCTGACCTTTAATTATTGCTTAGGTAATGCTAAAGAATTCTAGGTTGCTGCCAGTGTACTTCCCAAGCCAAGAAATTCTAGCCTGGAAAGGTAATTGGTCACAAGAGGCCTTCTGTTTCACACACTTGAAGGCAGAAGCCTACCAGAGGGGAAACAAAGAAAATTATGCAAAAATTGTGTAATACTGTAGTCACGAGAATTTTTCTCTATTCCCTCTCAGAGTCCTGTATACTGGCTTTGCAGGCTTAATAACTCCATACAAAACCCAGTCTTCTCATCCACCACATGCAGACATTGTTTATTACTACAGAGTACCCAGTCAGCTGGAAACCATAAAGCCCACTTAAGCAATCAACACCCAGATGTTTATAGACAAGCTCAGCCTTTTGCTCTACAAAAGGTGAGAGGAAAAAACATCATGCCCAGTGATAATTCATAAGCTTTATTTCAACTTACCTTCTGGGAAAGCACCATATTCATTCATCTCTAGTGGACAATACATGTTGGAAAACTGGCTGTCGCAAGCTGCATTCCAGTCGATGAAGCTGTCCCATGAAAAAGAAAAACCTGCTGTCAGAAACAATTTGCAGAACTTCTGAAAACTGTTTAGAAATACTTTTTTTTAACATAAAGCTGTTGGATGCAAAATGCCTGCAACTGATGATGAGGATTTTCACATTCTGCTTGCCAATTCTGCCAGGATCCACTCTGACACACTACGCAACAATTCTCTCACTGAGCTCTTTTTCCTCTGGGAGGATGAACAACTTGTAATGACAGCTACCAGGGTCCTGCAACATCTAACTGGCTTCAACTTCTTCCTCTGTAAAAAGAAAATAATTGTACTTCTTTCCCACAACCATGGAAATGGTAGATATAAAGCGAAATAATGTAATGTGAGGTAGAAGAAAATGTAACCCAGTCTCAAGCATTTGAATGACTGAGAATAGCAATTAAAATGGAGATTTCTACTTCCCTTACCACACACGTTATTAAAGTCCTGTTAAACAGTATGTTTTCTAAACTACACATTAATTTCTAGGGATTGTATTTGTTTTAATTAAAATAATTTCAGAATCTCAAGAAGACTTTTCAAAAGTTAATTCTTGAAGATATGCCAGCAGTGAAACAAGCCCTGCTAAGCAGAAAGCCTGAACTCCAAGACTGCATACAGTCTGGACAAGGCAGGCATATGAAGGTAGGATTTCAGTTCAACTTGTACTAATTCAATTTTACTATTCAGGCAAGAAGCTATTGTAAATTATCACTACTACATATGAATAAAGAATTATACTTTTTTTTTCCATATAAAGTCCAAATTGAGATGGGCGTATGACAGCAAATTAGCATAATACATAATCAGCCACAAATCACATGTATTTCATCTGATTCCAGAGTCAGACAGATTGCCGGCTACTGCTCCCAATCACTAGGGTTGCAGTTTGTTGACATGACAGTCAGAATTGAGGTCAGCAGGTTGGTTGGGATCACAAGACTATCACTAGGGGATTTCCACATTACCACTGTGTCATTTCAGGTGACAGGATCTGACTTGAAGAACTGGCTCTAATTCACTGCTATGTGGTGGCAGAGTATTTCTTCTCCCTAGTTTGTGGTGCATCTTTCATTAGTAAAATTTGCAGTGTGGAGAGCCTAAAGTACAAGAACTACTACAGGAAGATCAACACAAATCTACACACAGCCTGAAACAGTAAGATGAGCTTGCATCCTTATACCACACTGGATTATTTGTCTTTATTTAACAATGTCTGTTCATGCCATTTAACACAGTACACACTGCATAACAGACCCCATGATATGCAGAAGCCATGTATTTAGCAAGAGGGCAACAAATGTAAAAGCCAAGCCCTCTGCCTGGCCAGGCAACAGAAGTGGAAGAAATTAAGAACTTTCCCAGAAGTATTTAATTAAATTTGAAAGAAGTTCCTGGATATCTGCACATGAGCAGAAACACCTTTGTCAGCAAAATTAATCCCAATTTACTAATGGAAGAGCATAAACAACTAGAACTGAGATTGAACTGGCAGCAAGAATTTAACTATCATCTGCTTTTCAGATATTGTAAGATAAGCTCAAGTGCAAGTGCAGTCCTCTGCACGTTTACATGAAACATAACTTGCCTGTTGTGGACAGAGGGGGTTTCTTGGATCATGCATGGTATATTATTCTCAAGGTTGTAGTTTAAACTGTTTGTCAGGCAGACTGGCTGGGCAGGCCACAAGTCTCCTGTTGGATAAAGACCTAAAAAGGGAAAAGGGAATGAAATGCAGAACAACAGGAAGGAGGCTCCACAAACTCTAAGCATCACAATGACACTTTATTCTCAGATCCATGATAAGGACTGTATGTTAGACTAAAAAAATCCAGTTAGCAACCACTCTATTCTTCTGTGAGGAATGTCCATCTTTAAACAAATCTCAAAATTTCTCTGTGTTAAAATATATATACATAAAAAGACTTGAACTGAGAAGCAGAAATTCAACAAAACAGGGCAAGAAATTCCTACAGACTGTCCTTAATTAATCAGCCATCAGCATTAAGGCAGCACCCTTCCCCACAGCAGGATAGACAGCAGGGATACCAGCCTCTCTGTCACCCATCAGTCAGTAACCATCTCTGAAGTCCAACCAAGAATGAATGCAGTGGCAAGGTTCTTAATGGACTAGAGCTATTCACGACCAAACAATTTGTGAACTCATTATGGATGTATTTAGCCCCTAGGGCAGATTTTCATTGTGCTGCTCTCTATGGACTAAGCGCTCTGACTCCCCACAGATACTTGGTTTCTATCAACCCTGGGAGAACAGGCAGCTGGAGAAACAAAAAATTCCAAATTAGCAGTTTCCACAAGAAAAGGGTTGCAAAGTTGGTTCTACTTCATTATTTCACGTGATCGATATTATGGATATTGCTACCATGGAAAAAGTTTAATCAGCATTTGTGACCTACAAGATTCAGGTTAAACCTACAGCAGAATGGACAGTCACAAGCAGGCACTTCTGTTGCCTGAAAGAACTACATGTCCTAACCATCTTTCAAACTCCACCTCACCACGCCTGATGCTTTTATGAATCCCACTCAACAAGCTAGTATTACCTCCCTTAGAGATACAAACAATGAAAACTCTGAGAGTTTCAACAGCCCAACCCAGCTTCATTCATTACTGCTTTCAAAGAGAGCGAGTCCCAGCTGTCTAAATTTAGAGACAAAAGGTCATATTTGATTTGATGCCAGTGCTTCATTTTAACAAAACCAGTGCTCTTCATCTTCCAACCATGTTACTTCTGGACATAAATCTCGCAAAGCAAGAGGATAAAAAAAACCCCAAAGAATACTTTAAAAAAAGTTGAAACCTAAATATCATCTTCTCCCAAGTAACAAGTGATAGGACAAGAGGTAACAGCCTCAAGCTGCATCAGGGGACGTTTAGATTGGATATTAGGAAAACTTTCTTCACAGAGAGGGTAATCAGGTATTAGAACAGGCTGCCCATGGCAGTGGTGGAATCACCACCCCTGGAAGTGTTAAAAAAACATGCAGATGCCCTCAGTGATATGGTTTAGTGGCGGACTTGGAAGTCCTGTGGTAAAGGCTGGACTTGATCTTAAAGGTCTTTTCCAACCCAGTTGTTTCTATGATTAACAGAGTAGATCCAGCCAAAAAAAAAGAAAATAAAAATCAAAGTTATAAGCTTTCATTTACCTAAGCTAACTTTGCTCTTAACTGGTTTAGAAGTCAAGTTCTAATAACAACATGTTTATCAAGTTGTTGTATAGAAGAATTATTAGCAACATCAATAAAACTGCTTGACAAAGTGTGCAAAAACCAGCTTCAGTTGTTAATAAAAGTAACTGACCTTTATTTTTGTCAGGATCTGCAGCTATGTCAGTGAAATTGGGACATAAGGTTTCAGGATATTGAGGGATACTGTTCATGTCTCTGCTGGATGAAAAGAAAATTTAATTTCTTAAGTCTAGATATTTATGTTTCATAATCCAAAGTATTTTGAAGGAAATATACAGAGATGTAAAAAAATATTCTAATGAACATCATGATTGCTACTGCTTTCCCACTTTCCTGATTTTTCATATTTTGAATTACCACTGGGCAATTTTATAAAGGTATTTTTTTCCTCAATTAAAACACATGCAAAATGAGTAAGATTAATACATCTTAATTACCCCCACTTCTATTATCCCAGTATCAACCTATTGCAAATTAATTCAACAGCTCTTCTCTAAAATTGCAAGATGAGTAGGATCTCTCATAATGTTTGAATGCTCCCAACAATTTTCAGGGAAGTTTACTTTTATGTCCATGAAGATACATAGGTGCACATAAACATCAATTTCGTATTTGTCAAAACCCATCAAAGAAACTAGTCAAAATGAATGGAAAGGGAACATTTGCAAGCACCAGAATGCCATGGGATTAAATTATTTCTGCTAGTAAAAAGAGAGTTATGAATGAGAAGTGAAATGAGGACTCACAGTAAAAATTGTAGATACTATCACTACTACAGTAAAGAGGTAGAAAGGAATGTGGGGGAGGGGGGAATCAATTTTCATGCTGTATATCCTAGGAGAACATTATTCCCATTAAAAGAATAGCATCAACTTGAAAGTCTCATTCCCACCTTATTTTTTTTTTTGAACTGTTACTACTTGAATATAACAAAGTGGCAATGGAAATGTAGTAAGTTCTTAAGACCTGGAAGAAATGAGAGGGGGGAAAAACACTTCCATTTTTTCCCCAATTTTATTTTACAGTTGGAAGCATTTATTGTATTTCCCCAGCATAATCCACTTTGCATATCTCTTTTCATGTACTGAAGAAGATTATTCTTCTTCTTCTAACCAGTAAGTACAATTACATGATCACAGAAAATGACAATAAGACAGGTAGGTATAATTTCTCAAACTGAGACAGGATTTCAAGTTGGTGGTGTTTCTTTAATGTCTTACAGGTGGAGATTCAATTTTTTTACCTGGTATTGCAGATGTTATGAGACAGATTTAAAGTGATAGGAGTTTCAGATGGAAAATCATTTTGTGAAATATTCTCTCCTAAAGAAAAGAATGACTGTGAAAATCAAAGATCCTAAAAAAAGGAAGTATGCACAGAATATACTGTACACAGAAATAGAATCATCAATGGTGTTTATCAAGTTTTGTCTCACACCAGAGTATCACTAACTGCATTAATTTCAAAGCGTGCTATCTATGTCCACATGGTCACATCTATGTGACCATATCTATGTCCACATGTATTTTATAAGTGATTACCACACTTTTAATGGAGAGGCTCCTTGTGACTACCCAATCAATTTTGAATTTGAAATGACTTATTTTCTTAAGAGGCATCACAATTTGAACGAACAGAAAAGTTAGGTATGCACAATTCACTATCTATTAGATTGGAGGTTTAGATGCACCACGTACTATCTTTCGGTAATTTACAGTTTTACACAAATACACATGTAAGTACATGAATATTTTTAAATTATTCAGAATGGCTTTTTTCAGGTAAGCTGGGCTTACTTTCTTTAAAATTTAATTCTAGTGCCATGTCAGTCTGGATGGTGATGGCAGTGACAGGGTTTAGGCTTTGAACTATTTAAATGATATTCAGGTACTCAAAAATCTGCAGTAACGAACCACAGTTCCCATTTCACATATCAGTCAAGTGGCTCAAGTCTCCCGTCTACTTATCCCTCAAATACAGCTACGTAATCCTAGCATCCTCAGATCTGGACTGCTTTCACACGTTCCTCATTTGTGTATTTCTTAAACAGCTGTAATATTTTTCAAAGAATAATGTGATATAACAGAAATACAAAGGCAGAAATTGCTTTGACTAGTTACTCTCAGTTCTTCCACCTTCCCATGAGAACAAATTGAGCAAGTGAGCAGCCTGACACTTTCTCTGTAACCTGACGGCTCATGTTTATCCTCACAAAACTCATGGTACTTTTTCCTAGTACCAAGTTCTTTAAATCTCTCCCCATGTTTGAAACGTGCCCTACAGAAGGCAGCTTACATGTCTCAATGCCACAATACCCCTTTCCATTCAGAAGGCAGGCTAAAACTCTGCCCACTACTGTGCAGAGGTGATATTTGCAGAACTTACTGGATGGAAGAAAATGCCTGGCAGTAATCATAGGCTTTTTATCTCCGTCTGAACTGCTGGTACTGCTCCAGCTACCCCAGCTCCCACGACTGGCACGAACGCTTCCTGATGAACTTCCACAATCTGAGCTTGAATCAGAGCAAAACTTCTCCAAACACTTCTTTTTGGACCGCTGATAAAAACTTTCTAAAGAAGTTGTAAAAAAAACCCCAATGATACAAAACATTAAAAAAAAAAAATCTTTCAGCTGAAGATTCAGTGAAAAGTCATCTGAAACATGTACTTACATGGTTTCTCTGAATTTACTATAGGACTGAAAATAGTATTTACTGATGGCCTCAAGATAAACGCATAAGCCCCTACACCACAAGGAGCTTATAACGTACATGACATCCCCAGTGAAATGAATGCAAGTGAGGACACAGTGAAATTAGAGGCATTGGTTTGAAAAAAGAAACCCATACTGTTCTTTGAAACATACAGTTTATATTTTAAGTATGAGACATATCCTTGTTGTAGGAACATGCATACTGAAAGCAATGACAAATATTGCAAGTAATGAATTCATAAGTAAGAGATTCTCCTTTCCTGTTACCTCATCGGGGGGCAAAGGACAATCCTATAAACACTGGTAGATTCTTCAGCCCTCCTCTTCCCCCAAGCCAAGGCAAACAGCTGCTTAACATCTTGCAGAAAGGCAGGAAGCAGGTATCCCTGCTAGAGGTGGTTTTAAAAAATGACCTGCCTATTCTAAAGGTGGCTCTCACAATACATCCACTTCAGTTAATACCAGCTTTAACTTGAACACACAGACAGAGAGTCAGCCCTTCAGCCGGGACTGATGGATTATGACTTTAAACTGACTCCTCTTCTGATTTGCACCACAAACCAACTACATGGACAAAGCATGTGGAGCCCTTCAGAAATGAGTAGGTATTATTTCAGGCACTACATTGTGCCAGTCCTGCCATCCTCATGTCGAGGTTAGAAAGGGAGAGAAGCCCAAGTCTCTCCAGGAAGGAATACAGCCCTAGTGCCACAAAAACCACATTATACTGCCTCCCCCATTTAAGACAATTAAGACTGCATACCTGTTTCTCCCTGAATAGACAAGCTCCCAGGCTTTTGATCCGCTTTACAGTTTTCCCCGTTACCCTGAGGACACCAGGCTCTTATTCCAATATTCGCTCTCAGATCCAGCCTTTCAAATTCACTGCACATGTGCTTCAATTCATTCTGCTCAGTGACCCTAATACAACCACACCCAAAGAAACATGTTTGCACTTTACATTTCTGCTGCATTTTTCCTTTTCAGGCATTAAACACTTCAACTCACTCGACTACCGAGGCAGCATATGGAGCAAAGAATAGGTTCAGAAGTCTTAATTCCCACCTTTACAGAAAGCTAAAAAACATTCCCAAAGTGCTCTATCCCACCACACAGGCTACAACTTCTCAAGGGGATAAGCAAAACAATGTGTGTACGTTTAACTCCATTCTCTAGTGCACTTGCAGAAGCCAATTAGATTTACAGTGATAAGTACAGTCTAGCATTGTACGAAGACCTAGATACACAGAAAAATGTGCCCTATGTCTATTTCACTGGCGTAATTATAACTAGAGTAAAACCACCATCTGAAGTAATCTCCAGTTTTTGCTAGTAAGACTGAAATATCTGGACCCAATATCTTAATCAGAGAGTATTAAGGAGAAATGAGTAAAATCCATCTGTCAAGTTTAAACAGGAAGGGAATGGTTACATCTTAACTCAGAAAACAGCAACTGCTGGATCCGTTCAAGGAGTAGAATTTTAGTATTTCTTTTCCAATTTTTTTAATCCTTCCTAGCTACAAAGGTGTGCATCTTACAAAGATTTACACGTGCTGACTTCTCACACAATGAATAGTAATTTGTTTATAATGAATTATAACAGCCCCTGCAGATTTACAATCTCCTTGTTAAGTCCACTGACCTCAATAGGACCACTTGCAATAAAAGTTAAGTCTGTGAAGGCTTTGTAGGATCATGACCTAAGTCAAAGGGCTGGGGGAAGGGAAGGAGGAGGATTTTCTCCTCGTGTTTCTATTCAAGAAGCAGCTTATAACTGGTATCTTTTAACAATAATCCAAATAATTTAAAATACATGAAAAAATATTCAAAGTAATTTACAACTGACATCAGAAATGCTTTTAAACAACCCTTAAGAGGAAACCAAAAGTAACTACCCAAGGTGCTCTCAACATTCTTCTGAGCCTAGTGATGCTGCAATATTTGTAATCATCATGGCAAAAATGCAAGCCACTCTCTACATATTTCTCTTCATCTTCCAGAACTACTAGAAGACAACATTGCCTTACTCTATACAGCAGATGACTCTCCTGAAGGTGGGACCATTTCAACAATTTTGTTTTCTTCACTGAACAGAATACATGGCTAGATTTTATTCGCACAATACACAATGGAATTCCAAATTCCAGACTGTAACACAGAGCAACCACTGCTATACAGAATGGGGTGTGTCTACATACATGCAGGTTTACAAATGGGAATTTTTTTTTGGTGATACTTAGTACTGCACATTCTTAAAAATAAAGGCTCAGGCCAGGATTAAATTGGGTTTATTTAAACAGATAAAGCAATCCTGCCAAATGTACTATGGAAAACCTTCAGAAACATTACAGCAACTCTGTATTTCTTCATGACTTGGTGAGGCAATACATACCTTGTAGATATATTAACACTCTTCTTCTTATTTTTCCTAGATGTTCTATTTCTATTCCAATTCATATTTGGTAAGTTTCCTTCCTTCTTCTCCTGAGGTTTCTTCTTCCTATACACATCTTCTTGCTAAAGGTAAAAATATGAGCCGAGAAAATACATACATTATAAAATGAAGTCAACTCACAGTAAATGAACTCCACTGGATTTTTCCAGCTAAATTTTTCTGGACAAAACAACCAGACCCAAATGCATAGTTACTTCATGATTTAGTGCCTTTCCACAGCACATCCTCTTTCCAGCACCATCAATTTGACCAGCCTTTCCAATACTCTGTCCTTCAAGACACCAGCAGATGATGAGAGAGAAATATCTGAATTCCCAATGTTAGCATTTTCCCCCTCATTGCATCTAGCTCTGACTTCCAGGGAAATAAAAAAGTGGGGGGAGAAAAAGGAAAGCAGTCAATAAAATTCCCAATGCACTAAAAACAAAAACACATCTGCCAGATTTATGATCAGTCTGTGTGCAAGTTCAGCAGCAATAAATCCTCCCTTTCCTCAGCAGCTGGAGGGTGGGAGGGGGTTGGGGTATTCATTTGCATTACAACTGAGGAAATTATGGGGTAAGTTAACCAACAAATAATAGTAATTTAAAAAAATGCAAGAAACAAACTGAGCTCCATCAGCTGCACACAGAAAGAAGTTTCTAACAACAGTTCCCAAAACAAGACAAGACCCTGTCTGATATATATTCCTCAAAGCATAGTAAGCAATTGCTCCTTACACCTTTTTGCCATGAGATTCCTATGCAGTAGATAGGACACAAATATAAACCAAATTCTTGGGTTTACCAACTACCTGATGAAGTTCTTTAAGTGTTTTACTCTGCCTGCAACAAATGTACCGTCTGCAGCATTAATATGCAGTGGATGTGGACAGCACATCTGCGTACTTCCTTATTCACCTGATTTACAGTGTTTCAGACCTGTGAATAGGTAATAATCCCTACATGCACATACATACCTGTATGCCTATATATATATAAATAAACAATAAAAAGACCATTTTAAATTTGGAAAGCAGAAAGATCACAACACAAACCTCAGAAGAAGTAATCTCCTCTTTTCCGCAGCACGGAGTCTCTTCTTTAGGTCCCTTACTCATCTTTTTCTCTGTGGAAGGCTTTAGGTTGATCTGCTTTTTTAAAGTCTCACAGTTTTCTGTTTCATTCCTGAGAGGCACTTGCTGGCTATTCCCTACAATTACAACAGTAACATCAGTTTACTTGGGAAGAGAATGGGCTCCCAATCATAACCACAGCATCTTCTACCTTTCTTTAAAAACAGATGTGTGTTGGTTTCCAAAACACTCGGAGACCAACATCTAGGCTGATGATGCTGAAAACTTCGAAAGCAAAAGCTAATGTTGTATAAAAATTCCTACAGCAGTTGCAAAAAGTAGCTCTGTACTGATTCAAACACATGGGCACACCACTCCTAGCACATGCCTAAGTTACCCAAGAACTGCTCATTTCATCTGAATTTGAACTATTTGAGTCCCAGCCATGGGTCTATAAGTTAAGTCAGGGAATAAAGAGAAAAAACCCTTCAAGCTGTGTGGGTAGGAGACCTTTCAAAAATGGGTAGATCAAAATAAGAACAGCCTGTATTTGGTGCAGTATGTCTCTGAAGTGCCCTCTGCATTCACTATGAAGGCAGAGAAATCATCCTTTCTTTCCACATTAAAAGTTAATTTTCTTGAGAGGCTTGTGAGGAAGAAGAAATATTCTTGTGTAACGAAGTCTAAGAGATGAAGAAAATGAGAGGAAACCTACCACAGCAACTAGCTGAGTTGCCCAGCTGAGTCACAGCCAGTGCTGGAGAGGGCAGAACTAACCAGCTCTGTTTCAGGTATCTCAGATACCTGGTATACATCCACAGTGATCTGCTACCGAGACTTGTCTGCTCCGCATGAGAGATGCCATCACTTACTGGTCTCCTCAAACAGTAAAGGTCCACCCAAACATATTTTTTTTTGTGGTTTCCTCTGTATCAACCACCTACAGCATCCTAGCTCTGAGTCAGCTACCTTCTCCTCTCTGGAGCAGGCAGTCATGATGACTGCAAAAGAAGCCCATATGAATGAGACACTGGAAACACCAAGCAAGGGAGGGTGCCAGAGCCCTAAAAACACTCTATTCTTCTCCAGCATACAAACACGGGAGGGAGTACCTGAGATCTTTAAGAGTCTGTTAGCACAAAACCAGGTCTGCAACTAAATCAAGATACAAACACTGCAGCATAGTACTTTTTAGACTTCATTTATCCTACCAAACTTCTTGAATCACAGACATGCTCACATTCCTGACAGTGCACAAAACAACTGCTCAATAGACAATGCATCAGATTACCTGTACTGCTTTACTACTGAATACAAGTACTCCTGAAACACTGCCTCAAGGTGGAAACTTTGTCAGTGAAAATGTCTACTAATTCTCAATTGTTTTATATACAACCATGATTTCCACAGTACTTCTGAGTTACTGTTTGAGTAACTGAAAGTTACTTTCGTTTGCACATAAATACAGTTAAGACATAACTACCGATTATTCTCCCCTCTATCTGATTTCCTAATTCAAAGCAAAGAATGACTAGCACTCTGCAGTTTAGAAGCACATGAAGAATGTAAAAATACTTTCTAAGTATGGGTGAAATTATTCTGCCTCTACCTGAAGACAGCACTCTTGTACCTGCTGCATCTCACAGATAACAACACAACTAGAAACAACAGGCCCACTACACACTACAGCAGGGCCTGAAATCCCACTGTGATGGCTCACTCACTAAACAACTCTGCCACAGTTACAGCAAATGCCAGCTTTCAGTATTCAACTACTTTGCCAAGTGCCTAAGTAAAGCCAAGCTTCCAGAGGACGCATTCTCCCATCCTGCTCTTGATCTCCCCCAGGTGCTCTTGAGCTGCTCTTAAAATTCTGAGTTGTGAAGGTAAGACATACGACTTCCCAGGCAGCTTAGTTCCACAAGTGGAAAAAAAACAACCCCCTCCAAAAGCAAGATAAAAAATAAAGCTATGCAGCTACTAAGAGAAAAGTCAATCTGCAAATTCCTACAAAATACGAGTGCACAATACCCTCTTTGTTATTTTAGGTGGTTTTATCAAAGAATGTCAAAGAATAACCAGTACTGGAGGTGCTGGCTTCGTGACTAAAAATCAGGCATCAGATTTTCAGTGGACCTGAAACGTTCTGGCATGTTTCTGAATATTTGACAAGGGCAATTTTTGTCTTATAAGCAGATCTATGACATCAATTACTTTAACCATTAAAATGCTACTGCATAAGCTCAAAATCTGTAAGCTAAGGCAAATATATGATTTATGAAGCAACTTTTTAATGCAAGCTGTTTCCTTAAGAATGTAAACATTAAATCATCATGAAAGCATAAGAAACACATCTCCTTGTCCCACACAAGAGACAAAATCCTCACCACACTGAACTCAACAGAAGATTTCACCCAACAATTCTGACTGTCAGAAATTAAAAAAAGAAAATTACCACTATTTTTCCTAGAAATTTCTTGCAGTTCCGGCTGTTGCTGAGGTGAATTTCTGGACAAGTGACTTTCAGGTAGCTTCTTGGGCATCTTCACAGGACAGAACTCCTGTTCTTTGAGCTCGACTAGATTTTCTGAAGTTTTAAGGTTAGTTTCCTTAGGAAACATACATGTTTGAAGATCTTCCTTCAGATCACACTCTGAAGAAGTATTTTTCATGAGAACTGTATTTTTCAGTGCACTTTCTTCTTTACCCAGAAAGTCTTCTGGAAGAGTTAAATTCTTGTTAACATTTATGCCATTTGCATATTTGAGAGTTACCCAGTTCTCACTGACAACATCAGTGCAAATGTCCTCTTTTGGTGCTGAGATTTGGTTCTCAGTAATCTGATTTTGTTTCTCATCAGTAGCTGCAATGGCACTGCCAGCCACTGTGTTTGGTTTCGGCTTACTGTAGTAAACTGAACATTTGTGTTTCTTCTGAGAGTGACTGTACGTCGCAGGACTTCTCTTTGCTGCATTCTGACTTCGGCTGGAAGAAGCGCCTACAGACAGGAAGCCCTTCCCTTTACCTTTATCTGAGGAGCTATAGGAATCCATAAATGTCTTGCAGCTTCCCCTTGAGAAAAAAAAAATTGAGATTTGTTTTTATCTACGAAGCTATCATGAATTGTTTTATAGCCTATTTTTGTAAAAGAAAGGGGAGGGGGCACAGTCACAAGCTGTGCCACTGCACTGGGTCTTCAATTTACCATATCAGCTAAGCACATTCTGATTTCAGGGGGAGATGAGAAAGACTCGGACTTCAAACACATTTATATGCTTCAGTAAGTACCTAACTGACCACCCAAGGGTGTCAGAACTGAGGACCACTAATGTATTTTCAGCTCTTTCCATAGCTGCTGTGATGGATCCTTTATTTCTTTTTTGTGGTTTCCTATGTACTGCTATCATAGTAAAGGATACATGCTGCATCTTTTACTTCCATCACACAATTTTTACCCTATACACTACTAACAATAATCAACATTTATAAAGTTCTTCCATTTCTCTTTTGTGGAGACGAGACCCAACACTAAAAGCTCTCTGAAAGAGGCTGCTTGGAACACCATCTCCCTTAAACCAACCCACATCAATATCAAAATACAAACAGACAGAAAGCATTACTCCACAATACATAGGGTACCAAAAAAAAAGGCAATTCAAAAGAAAAAAAGTATTCTCACTTGTAGGAATCAGAGCTGATTATGTCAACAGAGTTGCTGTTCTGCTGTGGTGAAGAACTAGGATTTGGCCTCTGTCTTGATTTCATGAACTCTGCTAGGATATACTGGGCTTGCTGGAAGGCTATTAGAATCACGCCGAGCAGGGACAAACTGCCAAAGAAAACAACAGATACTGGTGTCTACAATTTTCAGGTGTATTCAGTGATAGAGTTAATAAGCTTTAATAAAATGCATTTTTCAAACATTTTGTTAGCAAATTCTAAATAAGGAGACAAACAAGAAAGCTCTCAATAAAATAACTCAGCCAAGGGCTTTACAAAGGAAAAAAAACCCAACCAACTAATAATGAAAAAAAATCCATCCTAAAAAAAGCTAATACTTGATCTGAAGATCAGTTAGAAGTCTCGTTACCACCCAATAGCAGCATCTTATAGTAAGATACCTATCAGTCTTCTAAGTACTTTCTATTCATTTATGACAGTTATGTCATTATTTTGATATTTATTTAATACTGTCTTTTTCTTTTCCTAGAGAAGATACTGGCATAAAATGGGCTACAAATGCCACCACACTTCTGAACTAAACTTGAAGCTGCAAAATATCCTCTCTTTCTCTGTTGTCTTAATTGCACCAAATATACACCAATCACAATAAAGATCTTTGTAATTCATTAAACCACTTTCTCAATTATGCAATATGAATTTTGTCAGCAGGAAAACAGAATGAGAAACTCCTGATCTTTCAGATCCTTGTAGTCTCCTTCTGTTGCATCTAGAAGCAGTAATGTGGTCCTTAGTGTTGCTTCACTTATGCTCTGTTTTCAGTGTCAAAACAACAATGCAAGCAGAAACACACCGTGCATCAGGATCTCAGTGAGGTATGCATAGGCACGTGTATGTATCACCGCAACATTCACATGCACTGCTTGTTAGTAATGATTGTAGGAATTCAGATTGGTGTGATGCAAGCACTGGGGATCATCTGTGACATACACAATATTCAGTTCACACTACACAGTGTGAAAGGTTAGTTAAAGAAAACAAGAAAAGAGTATGTTTAGGAGCAGAACCCTTAATTGTTGTACAAAGGTACTGTCCTCTTAAAAGCAGTTCACCGTGTGCACGCAATGAGTCAGATAACACAAACCAATTAATCTTTCTCAGCTAGCCTGTTTAGCAGTGTGCCTACCAAAAACCTAACAACAAACACAAGTATTTTTCAACACGTGAGAGGAGGAAGAAGGCATAAGGAAAAGCAGGTCTTCACTTGGTTGTCTGAAACTTTATAAATAAAATTCATATTAATTTTTCAGAAATACTTCAAGATGATCTACCAATCCACTCGATTCTATTTACAACATTCAGATACTAGTATGTTACATGTTGTCCTGAGTGCAGCAGTAGCAGAAGGGCGGGAGTGAGAGAGCGGCTGCGTGGTTCTGGGTTGCTGGCTGGGCTTAAACCATGACACTTGTGCATCTCTGCTGTGGCAAGAGTAAGTCTTCTTAGCAAGGATATTCCTGTGGGGGTATCCTAGCCTTTTTTTCTCTGCAGCCTTAACATGGAATTTATTATTAGGAGCAGAAAGAAATGCTTGAGAACTCTATTATCAGCTACTGCATCACACCTAAGCTGTCCAAGCCATCTGTCAGAAGTCTTGGGACACAGACGCAGTAGAGATTTAGGCCCTATCACCACTAAAAATCTAACACAAGCCAAAAGTGCTTGTGTTAGCATGGATCCCTTTCGAACTGGTGCAGGGGGCCTGAAAGCATTACCTTACGAAAAGGACAGTAAGCCTCCAGAAAGACTCTTCCCAGCTGGGTCCTGGCACCACATCTGCACACAGCGGTAACAGATGGTGAGGAAGAGTCACGTTGAGCGTGAAGTGGAACTCCAAATCAGCAGCAGTTACCAGTGTAAGCTCCCGGATTACCCATGAAGATGTAAAGTCAGGAGTAAATCTGTCAGGAAAAGCAGACAGAGATGGTGTTATTTTTCCAGTGCTGGACTGAATTTAATTTTCTAAGTCACACCAATACCAAAAATACAAAATAACTTCTGATTTAATTACATATATGAAAAAAAAAAGACAATGAAATAAGGGACCACTGTCTGCTTAGACTACACAGATGCCATTAGCCTATAACAGAGGTAAGACTGTCAAATTGTCAAGGGTACAGGCAGCATTACTTCAGAAAGGGACAAGTGCTACAGTAAGCCTAGAACAAGACAGGGAAAGCAGAAGAAACCATAAGATTTGTCTCTTCTTCTATTTAGTTCCCTGGCCCCTACCATTATTCTGACCACCCCAGGTATTGCTAGAAGGTATGACTTGCTTCCCACTCAGTAGAGGTGACACTTGTATATGAAACCGCAGACACTGCAACACAGTAGTATTAGTTCTATTTGTGTTTAAGTCTTGATTCTTGTTCAACAGGATTTTAAAAAGAATCAGTTTTAGATTATGTGCAATTTTAGGAATACATGACTAGATTGTGGTCAGGCTACTTGGAAAAAGCCAGGGAATAACGATCAAATAATAAGAAAAACCCAGTGGCAAAGCATTTCTTGCTCTTTTATTGTGACAACTGTTTTGCTTATTACTTTATAATGCACTGATAAAAGACACATAATGCTGCTTTTAAAAAATAATTTGAGTCTCACAAAGACACACTGTTATCAGTTTGTTAGAATAACCCTTACTGAAAAGGGGAAATGCTTACGAAATTTATATTTGAAGCTCACCAAATTTTATGTGAGGGTGAGCTATTGGAGTGTCTGTTACTGAGATTAATTACTTCAAATTTCCACTTAAGTTAATTTGTCAGCAAATCTGTCAGTGCTTACACAATGCTTATCTCTCGTGATGAGTTCTGAGCCAAGAAAAATTCCTGACAGTCTAACACTTCAAATCCATATCCTTGGCAACTGTAACCATTGATTTTCATTGATGAAATTGTTATAGGAAGAGGCCCAATATTCTCTACTTTGAAGTTCTTCGTAATGGATAGAATTTGCTTGCTGTCTTTCAGTTCTTAAAGGAGAAAAAAAGAAAAATTATTTTACAGTGTTTACAGTATTTTTCTTATGTTTATCTATATAAAACAATGTTTATCTAATAAAAAATCAGAAGTGATCAACACTGACACAGACTGATTTGCAGTAGTATATTTCTAGAATCTGTAACTATGCTCAGTCAGTGTTTCGAGAAAACAGAATCTACCCAGCTCTTCAGCTTTTTCTATTCCAACATTCTGTTTACTTTACAATAATGTGTATCTGTACCACTACAGAATAACACAGCCAGCTACAAAATCAAGAGACTTCTTCTTTCTTACGTCGTCTGCAGTCCATTAGTGTAGCTTCTGGCACCTTGAATCGAAGGGATCCTCCTGTACCAGGTAGTCTTCCCCCTACTTTAAGCAATTCTTTGGCTCCAAAGCCTTCTACATTGACCACATCCAGAACAGTCAAGTTGTTTCTGCCATAATACAAAAAACAAACAATCAGCCACTAGAACACAAATTAAGTTTTCAAAATCACTGCTTTGCTATCTAGATGCCAATCCAAGACAATAGTGTTTCAGTAACAGAGCTACTGGCCACACCAGGATAGGTTTCCCCTAAATACATACCGGACCACCCTGGAACCAGTCACCAGTGAATTTCACATAGTGAAGGAACAAGCTCTGTGACCACTGCCACTGGATAACAACAGTTCAACCTAGTGAAAATGGTTGTTTTTTCCATAAAGTGCCTTTTCCTTCAGAGACAATCAATGACTGGCTGCACATCAGACACACTGGATACTCAAATCCTATCACTATGAAGCTAAACTGAAAACAGCAAAGCCACCCAACGTGTTGCTCACTTAATTCAAAATTACCTCAGTCCATTCATATGCATTTTAGAGTCCACTGGTCAGATACCAAGGAAAAAAAGGTGCTTTCTTAATGACTGAGGCATAAGGCACAAGACCCTTTAAGCAATTTTTATTAAACTGGAGGTATTCTGACTTTCAAATTTTGACCATTTGTCTGTACTTCAAGATTTCATAAATTCCTTTCCACATTGAGCTATTTGATTCTCAAAACTGAAACTTGGCTTACCTGATTAAAATAAGGGAAGCTACTTTTCTGTAGTCAACTGGTGTAAAAATTACGCCAACTTTTCTAGTTTCCAGTGGCTGCAAACTTAACCAAAGCAGCTCGGAACTGCATTTCTGGTTGATGAGATCCTCCCGATATGCATTCTGTTAAACCAAAACGCACTTCTTATTCACAGAAAACGTGTGTTTAAAGATCTCTATAAAGAAAGCACTACAACTTTACTTAGCACTACATAAGATATTTTTGGCAAGGTGCAGTAACTACTAATTAGCTTGTTATACAAAAGTCTTTCAACTTGACAACGTAAAACATCAGATAAGATTGTTTATTTGAGCAAAAGTTCATATTACTGCATTTATTATTATGAGGAATGTATTACTTCATTTTTTAAAACAGTTTTTATTTGCTCAGATGGAAAAGAAATTATATAGTGTCTTTCATATTCAAGGAATCTTGAAACACTTCACAACACAATGAGAACTGACACTATACTGATTGCACAGGGAAATGTGGCAACCATTATACCTTCAGTGTAAAACTTGCAACTTGATTTAAGTGAGAAAGGGACTGTTGGCAAGTATGTTGACCATTTAAGTCACTGGAAACAAGCCAAAGTGAACTCCCTACCATATTAATTGAAGACCAGAACTACCAGAAGTACACTGAGTCTGGAAATAATGGTTTTTTTTTTCCACAATGCTGTTGTTTATTCTTTTCCCCATAAAAAAAAATAAAATAAAAACAACCAAAAACCAACTCTAAAACTTTCTATTCCAGAGGTTGGGGTCTCATCTTAGGAAAGGGGTGATCAGACAGTTAGAGCAGTCAAAACAACCATAAACATTACTAAATGTTACAAAACAGGCTCTTGCTCAGTGGTTTTTCAATTCATGGCTGTTGTACTAATGGTTCTTCTGATCTTTTCCAGTCCAAACTGTTTTATTCTTAGTCCATTTTATGAAAAATGAACATACAAAAAAGTTTCAGAACCTGCATTTAACAGTCAATATTTAATAAAAGCAAACCACATATGGCATTTGCAAACTTCACCCTGTCACCCCCTACAAACAAAGATACTCATGCACTCAAAATGTGAGCCTAACAATACATTACACGTGTATATAAAGTGACTAAGGAAATAATGACAAATTCAAAAATGTAAATAGTAACAGCTAGTGATTTGTTAAACAAGTCAAGACCCATCTCATACGTGCTGCATGCCTACCTAACTATACTTTTCAAGTCTCTAATGAAAAACAGGTATTACACACATTGATGTAAAGATCTACTGCTATTTTTCCATTTCGTCAAGCACATGGTGTATGGGACTGTGGAAACTCAGTCCTAAACAAGTACTAGTGGAACTAGCTTCTTTTTCAGCGTGTGGCTACAGGCTGCGATTTATGAACTGTTGTCCCCTCTCTTTTACAACAACTCTTACAACTGTTGCCAGAAAGGAAAGGTCAGTTTAGATTAGTATAGCAAACACAGTCTTTTCTTTTTATAAGGTACTAACGTTTCATTAAGGTTCTAAAGCACATGTGCAGAAATACGTATCTCTCTAGGACATTAAAGAGGCAACTGCAGCATGCCCAAACTGCAAGGAAAATATATCAATTCCAGGCTTTTATAAAAACTAGAAGTCAAAGAAGAAACTCTCTGGGACCCTGGACAGTACTCTGGGTTGCCAGAATATTGTTGCCAGGAAGCTGGGACTGTTCAGCCTGAAGAAGAGAAGGCTGCATGGAGACCTCATAGCAGCCTTCCAGTATCTGAAGGGGGCCTATAGGGATGGTGGGGAGGGACTCTTCATTAGGGACTGTAGTGACAGGACAAGGGGTAATGGGTTAAAACTTAAACAGGGGAAGTTTAGACTGGATATAAGAAAGATTCTTTCCTGTTAGGGTGGTGAGGCACTGGAATGGGTTGCCCAGGGAAGTTGTGAATGGTCCATCCCTGGCAGTGTTCAAGGCCAGGCTGGACAAAGCCTTAGGTGATATGGTTTAGTGTGAGATGTCTCTGCCCATGGCAGGGGGGTTGGAACTAGATGGTCTTAAGGTCCTTTCCAACCCTAACTATTCTATGATTCTAATATGCCAATATCCCTGACACAGCATCTTCTCTATTCCTGTCACCCATGACACAACACCTCAGGGTTTAACCACAGTTCAGCACTGGTGTGACAGAGTGAAGTGTTATCACACTCATGCTAAAAATGAGGCAACGGGAAACAGAGGCAGCTATAACATCCTAACCTGAGTCTGGTGGAGTCGCAATGAGACTGAGCTGAAGTAGAAATCCAGCTTTCTTCTTCCTTGAACTATTGGACAGTATTTCCCTCTACCGAAAAACTTATCAACCAGCTTCTGACATAACCAACTCAAAAGCCTGACACTTCATGGACAATGAGTGGCTAAATGTAAGTCCCAACACAGAATGCAAACTGTGGCTCTTAAACATGTACACACATGCATGCACACACTCAGACTCAAACTCTGGAAAATAAAGGTAATTGCAAACATACAAACCTGACAGAGAACCAAGAAAACACTGTTGAATTGCTTTAAATAGCACTTGAGAACAACTCAGATAGAGCTTTTTCTAGTGTATCAGAACACTTCTATCAAAATTAGCCATCTTACCCTGTAAGAACATTCATCCATGAGCCTGAATTCAGTGGTTGTGAAATTAATAGCTTGCACATTTATGCTGAACCTAAATAAACCAAAACAAAAAATTAAGCACTTCAAACCTACTCTGTCAGAACTACATTGACTTATTTTTAGATACTGGCATTTATTCTAAAAGGAAGAATACTTCTACAATTGCACTTTGGCAGATGTGAAATAGATGTGGGTCTACATTTTAACAGAATACACTACAAATCAGTTTTATGTGGATTCCACACATTTGGAAAACAGACAAACGGCTGGGCGTTTCAGATCTCTCAGCAAAAGATCACCACCAACAAATACAATGTCTAAGCCACACAAACACAAGCGCCCCAAAGCTTTTTCTGCCTGCATAACTGTTAAGAAATATTCATTCTCAAATCTCATTAATTTACTCAAATATCCTTCTTTCTGCTCGTAATTTGTTTGGGACAAAAATCTTATTTTCTTTCACATACTTTGTAAATTTAATTCACTTACAGCAGTTATTTGCCTGACTGCAGACTGCAGGCATTTCACATTAAGGTACTGAAAACAGACATAGGAAAACCAATAGGTAAAATTTTGATTATAGAGGACTAATGGACCTCCAGCCACTGAACTCATAATTCACTTGTCACAACTTTCTGTGACATTGGCTTTAAACAAATCAGTCAGTGGACATGATTTCTGGTAAACCTAGAACATCTGCAGAAACAAGTGTGCAAATACAGAGAAAATGTAATTTCAAACCACTAGAAAGAGTCTATGTGGAAATTGTACTTAGTATGCAAACAGATGTAGTTATTAATGTGCATATATACACACACATATATATGCACATACTAGTACGCATGTAAAGAAATGAGGTTAAGGAAGCAATTATACAGGGATTTGGAACCCAAATCAGTAAGCAACACTTTAGCACATGAGTAGTCTCACCGGCTCCAACTAAGGAAATAGTCTACCAACAGTTTTTCAAAGTTAAGTGTGACACACAGGGCTCTTCTTCAACCAGGGTTTTTACTTAAGAAAAAGTGAAGAGGAAAACCTTTTTCTGGTAGGAAGGCTCAGATACATTCCTCCTCACTGATCAGTCTACAGACTCTGTATACTTCCCAACTAGCCTTGCAGGGAGATGCACATCCCCGGTACTGCAAGTTGCTCCCCTCACCTGGGTAGTTTTAACAGGCTTACACTAAGCCCCAGATTTTAAGATGACAGATTATAGTCCACAGCTGGCAGACATAAACTTGCTGAAAACATGCTCAGTTTGATCAATGACCAGGTACATTACAAAGTCATGGTGCTCTGTGAGCTGCTCTGAACATTATTATATCTTCAAAAATGGGTCAGAACACTGTCCCCACCTAAGCTACACTGAAAAACTAAAACAAACCATAAGCAACAATCAGAAGGCATGGGAAATAGGTATTTTAAAAAGGAAAACAGTTTCCTGAGATAGTTATACTCATTACCATTTGTTCAGTAGACTCAATGAAGCTTGAGGATCAGGGTAGTAAGAAAGAGGCAGAAGCTGCAACGTAACTGGGAAGGATGAAGGGTTTCTTAGTACAAAATATTTTACCTAAACAGTTTGGAGGGGAAAAGAAACAGTTAAAAACTACATACTTGAGAACTGGAAGGTAAAATCATTCAGCACTGGTAATATGACCTGCATTTTCAAAGGACTTCAACCTGGCTTCTGTTTTAATGCAATATAATCAATCGTGCACAAAACTGCATGGAACAGCAGGACATGTCACTACAATGTCATCATTCGTCAAAACAGCTAAGAGTGCATGAAGAACCACATGTGCAAATATACAGACCTTCCCCAGCCCCTAAACAACCCTTTCATTTAGATTTCGATTTATGCAGGCAGATGTGAAGAGAGCTCTTCCACAGAATATGGTGAAGTTAGTGAGGTGCTACCCTTTCTTACAGAAGTCTGAGTGCAAGCAGGTTATACACATTACTATAATGGCTGATAATTAAATGGCACAAACAGAGTATTAAGGTAATTCACAATATATGCATATGAAAACTATCTCCATATGACTGGTTCTGGCCCAGGGTAGGTTAGTAGTGACCTAAATCTGACAAACAAGAAAGAGGCAACCATCAGTGTGACTGAAAGACACATTATGGATCTCTCAAGCACTGTATCTCTTGCAAATGTTTTACACACTTCCATTGCATAAGACAGTGGTATGAGGAAAGCTATGCTGTAACCACATGCATCCTTAATGACAATACACCCTATCCCTAGTCCCTTGTTCAATTATTTTACCATATGCGTGTAACTTACACAATGATGCAAGGAAAGCTTTTACAACTATCAACAATTGTTAGTTGCCTACACTGCTTTACTCCTCTCCTTGCATTAAATATTACAATTACATAGCTAGAGAACTTCTCAAAGAGCCATAGGTATACCAGTCTGGTGTCTTAAATTAGACTTCAAACACTGATCTGCAAGCAGTATTAAAATGCTACTTAAACAAGCTAAACATACATCAGCTCAGAAAAAGTGCAACAACCATCCTCACCATACTACTTTTAACTGCTGTGGCACTGAAGTTGAGCGTAAGGCCAGGCTCTGTAGTCATCCGTGGTAAGAAAAAGGCAAAGGACTCCTCTTCAGGCTTCTTCTGGTGAATAAAGCGAGATGATCCTAAAATACTTCTCTTGCTTTATTGAAAAAAATAGAAAGCTTTGTTAATTTTATTTTCTCTTTTCTTTCAAATGAAGAAGAAAACAAATTATGATTTGCCAGAACCTATAATTACACCAACTAATCTTTCCTTGAAAGTATTCTTCACAAAATAAAGTGCATAAAGCTCTAATCTACTAGTAGAGAGTCAGTGTAACTTATGTGCATCCCTTCAGTCTCCATTTTTACACCTGCAACACAACTGTGGTTTTCACAGCTCTACCTCCCCATTCTAAAAAGGGGCTGGTGCACTATGTCTCCACAAGAGTTGCTCAGTCACAACGACTGCTTCCTTCTCAACATCCCTAACATGCAGTATCCATTAAGCCAGGGACTAAAAAACCTTAAAAAGCTATTTAAAGACCCTGATCCTGAAAAGACTCTTATGAGACCTGCTGATGAAAGACTCATGCAACTCCATAAACAATCTGGTAAAACATGCTTTGACTGCTTTAACACTGGGTAGCTATGGTTGTCATAGTAAGAACATTATTTACATTCTAAAGTCAGGCATCTGAAACATTTACTTATGGCTGCAGTGCCTTGAAATGGAAGCTGAGGGTGTTCGGGGTACTCTGAAACTCCCAGTGCTTCAAATTAACAAACAAGTGCAGGAAGGCCAAAAAAAGTTTGTTCTAATTAAGAATACTTCAGAACAGAAATACTCTTTCTTACAAAACTGTACTGGCTTGAATTAAGAACTTCAACAGATTCTGTACAGACCTGCAGGCTTCCCCACGTCTTATTTTTTGCCATCTTTCATAAAGTTCACTTGCAAGCTCAGAATCCACATCCCAAGCAGAACGGTCAAGAGAGAGACTCTTCTGCCAAAGCAGATTTGCTAAAACGATAATAGATTTTTCATATTTTACAGAGATAACATTTGCTCCTTCCATCAATCTACTTCTGAACACGAGTAATTGGCATCTGCAAAGGGTCCTGACACAAAAATAAAGCAAGCAACCCGCTTTTTCCCTTCAAAGCAAGCATATGTGCATGTGAGGGTATATACATGTGAGTGTATATGTATTACTGTATATATCTTCTTTGCTTAAGGTATCTGCAAAACACAACAATTCTATATGCAAACAGAAGTACGGGTATAGCACTGGCTTTGTACGCTCCAGTGAGCCCTTTTTACTGTTGCTATTTCTAATGCATGCCATTGAAAAGTCATTATGTTATCAGTGGTCTTTAAACAGAACTCAGCTGATGCAAATAAAGCACCAAGATCATACGCTATTTTCTACATAGTGGTACAAAATTATCACAGCACAGCACAGCAGGGAGCAAAACAAATCCCACAGTTTGGCAGAAATGATGTTTGTATCTCAGCTTCTCTTTTTGAGGTGCTGATAATTTTCCCAAATTTTTCTGAAGATAAAATTGCAAGGCTTTACATCACTCTAAAGACTAATGCCTTTTAGAAAGTCAAGCATTTTCACACAGCAGAACACAGTTAGAAAAGCAAACTTCTTTCAAAAGAAAACAAAAAATGGCTTATTTTTAAAATGCATGTACTTTATTTTACAATCCTTAGGGTTTAAAGTAACCAATTGAGATTGATGATGACTGGGATAATCCAGCTACAAGTTCTTTAGGTCAGTATTTTCAAGCTTTTGCATTAGAGTTTTTTTATTTAACAAATACTATACTAGTACCCTGCATTAGAAGGCAGAATACCTGTACATAAAGATCTGATTATGTTCAGATAATCAGACATGAATGAAAGATAAACAATAAGGACTCACTTTTATCAGAAAGATTTCTTTCTGAAGATTAAAAAACAAAACAAAACACCAAACAAAAAGCAAACACTTGCTTCCAAGGTCTGTACCTAAATGTGCGTATGTACCAGTAATCCTTCAAGCCATACGTTACCATTCGTCACCTCAATTCTTTTTACATTTGACTGAGTACTACTGCCTTCTTCATACCCTCATACAAAATACACTGCAGGAAAGCACCATCTTGAGAACATGTTTGGGAGAGTATTCAATTTAGCATTTCTTTAAAAGGTACCATGGTACCATTTACTTTTAATGGGTACCTATGTTGCCACTACTGGAATTTTTTACTGAGCAGAGATTAAAAAAACACTATTCAGAATCAGTTTTCATCAGATTCAACATTCTCCAGGAAGTACTATGTCCATGTAATACCCAACACTATTTTGGTAAATGCCAGCCAGGTACTTAGAACAGCTCCCAGCATTACAGTATCTGGAGACAGATTCCTCAGTTCCAGAAAGAATGAGACCCTTTCTTTCTATTTCACATGATACAGCATTAAGGATGCTATTTTAATGAGCCTGATAAATGGTGTTTTGCAGAAATCTAGGACATTATTCCTGTAAGAAACAGGTAAAGAGAAGGCCTTCAAATTTAACTATGGCTAAAGGCAGGATACTGGTCAACATTTGTTTTCTGTTTCAAAGACTTCCCAGGATCTGGACCCAGATTAGACACATTGCCTAACACTTCGAGCTAGTTGGCAGCTTTATCATTCTACCACAACATCTCCAGAGAACATGCATATGAAGAAAGAAAGGAGCAGTACACCACCAGTGAGAACTTGCAGCAGAGTCTTCTTAAACATTAAGTCCAAAATAATGTTTCAAGACAGAACAATAGCTTAGCATGTGCTATGGAATTAGAGGTCTGAAATACTGCACAATGTACTCGGAGAAGGTTACTCAAAGCCATTTATATGCTCCCAGAAAAACAGATATTTTTAAAAGACATAAAATTAAGTACTCACATTCTCAATCTCAGTATTCTCAATACAAGTCCTGCTACATAAAATGGATTTTCTACAATGAAACTACTAGCAGATGCAAAAAATCGCCAAGACAAGCCTACCTGAATCAGACTTTCCCAAGTAACACTGAATATCACAGTGGGCAATCGCTTCAAAATGAAGATCTCCCTGCTGGAAAAACAAAATAAGAACTATAACTGACCACATGGTAAGACAACAAGACAAATTCTAGTTTCTCAGTGCATAATTTAGATGAGTCAAGAGAATTAAGGTTGTCTAGAGGACTATAATTCCATCACTGTTCAACTCGGGGGGCTTAACTTCTCAGCTACAAAATGGTTTCACAGAATGGTATGGTTCCAAGTTTTTCTTTCGGGACTAAGGGACAGATTTCCGGCCTAAGAAAGAGGCTGCTGCGTTTGGGTTTGCAGTGCATAATAATCATACGACACAACTGAATATGGTACCTTGGAGACAGTCGAATATATCTGCAGAGGTATTTCAAACATTATTCCCACATTTGTGGCCAAACAAATACTAGAGAGCACATTTGTTACAGTGTCTTTCACACTGAGCTTCAAAGAAAATACGTTCCAGCAGCCTGGAGGCAGAGTCAAAGGTTCAGCAAAGTTCAGAATCTAGAAAGAATTAAATGACAAGTGAATTAAAACTGGTACAGTATTTTTGGTGCAAGTGGTACCTTGAAGAATGTAAACTTTCTCTTCCTTTGTGTTTTTGCTGTTATTACATACGCATATGTGCCCATAACTGATCCGTACCATGCACATATGTAAATCTCCTATCTAAATATACAAAGAGCCAATTAGATGCCTACATCATGTGCTTATTCATAAACCAGATTTGCCTGGTTTGAATCAAGCAATTGCGCGAGTAAATTATTGGCTTTGACTTCTAAACTTCAAAGCTCATCTATGTAGTAAAGACTTCCATTACAGACTATGAAGAAATGCTGAATACTATGGAGCACAAACACACATGCAACAATTCCAAGAACAGAGCAATGGTATATAATTTGATGCATCTGTAGCTGCAACTCGAAAGAACAGTTGCTAATGAAACAATGCAAAAACAAGCTGGACAGTGAATAATGCCTGTTGAGAGAGTAAGCTCTTCAGAACCTAACATTTATGGCCATACAAATACCTTTATTTTTAACTTATTTCAACCAGCTCTGAGAATACAGAGTCCTTCAAAGGATCTATTTCATATACTGAAGGACTGTATCCCTAAATCAAAGACAAAACAATATATGAAGCAGAAAAAAAGCTTACCTCTAAAACGTTTTTTGTTTCTCTGGCTATGAAGACTTCTGTCAGTTCAATGCTGAAGTCAAAATTGTTTGTAAACCATATGGACCAAAATCCTGAAGTATTATGATGTGGTTCTATATGAAATAATGCTGCAGAAGGATCTACATCAAAATACCTGTAAGTCAATGCAGAAGAAAAATAAATACACCTGCAACTGTCCTTGAGCACACATAAGAGGTCCGCAGAAGAATGTTAACTGTAGTATTCTTGCATAACAATGCTCCTTTAAGGTTTTAAGGAGAAAGAACAGAATTATTTCCTTTGGAATGCTTACATACAATATCAAAGTAAAAATTGACAGGAGCGATGCAAAAGAGATAGGCAGGTTTACACTCTTCCTGTGCTATATAGTATATCACTACCTACTGCTTTGGAATATGGTGGCTTGGATGAAATTTATGAAAGAAGAAAAGACTCCACGTTTTTTCTGTAACTATCCTGGTTCTCCATAACAAATTTTATCACAGACTCTAAGCAACATTTATATGATATGAGCTGCTAAGGCATACCTCTTTATTGGCTCCTGAAATTCTTGGATAAAATACAGAACTACCACTTGAAATGTCATAGCTCTGTTTTGGCAAACGACACAGTAACAATAGCAAGAAGCCTCGTCACTTTTCTTAGATTTCTTCAGTGACAGAAAAAGCTAACCTCATCTCTTTAAGTAGGGTACAGTATTCTTCTGACAATATCGTGAATGTTAACAAACAAACAAAAATCCATTGTCAACCTACCCTTCCATCACAGGACAGGAAAGACAGGCTTTTAGTGTTGCAGTGCCTTCCAATTGATTACTCTTCTTGTCACCATAAGGACTTTCAGTGCCACAGGATGCAGCTGGGCAAAGAACAGACAACAGGAGAATACAACATCAGCCAGAACAATTTCCACATGAGGGTTTGGAAGAACGCTACAAAGCGGAATATTTGTTAGTCCAATTCTAACACATGTGAACTAAGCATCTAATCGCTTATGTCCTGATTTTCAGAGGTTCCACACTTTGCTTTAAGAAGAATTTATGACTGCTACACACCTTTCAAAAACACACACACAAAAAGGCTGTGAAGAGCAACCCAACCAATTTTAGCCATGTGTCACTGGCTCAGCATTCTTACTTATCAGTGCACACTGCCTCCTTTTAATAAATGAAATAGTTTTGAAAAAAGCAATCACTTAAAATATAGCCCTATCTTCTTATTTTCCCTCTTTTCTAGGAAAAAGAAGTCCCAGCATTATTATGAAAGCAGTCTGGTTCATAAACATTTAAAGTCTATGCACTGCAGTCTAGTGGTCAGAATAGGAAACAGGCTGGAGTCAGGAGTGCCTAACTGTTAATCTTTGCTCTTCCACAAACACGCCTGGTCCCAGGCAAGCCTCTTCAATGATCCTGCCAAGAAATGTCATAGAAAATGACCACCCAAGCACAACAGCCTTTTAGAAAATATATTGGAAACAGAAAAATAACCACTAATTATAAAAGGATGTTGAAAAAGCATATTCACTAATTATGCTTACCAAAAATCAGCAACATTTTAGCAAATGCTTTATTCCCTTTTTTGTAATATGTATAGCTTAGAGCCTTCGATCAGCAAAAGAGAAAGCATATATACATCAAAATGGTGGAAATAATTAGAAGAAAGAGTTCATCCTCCTTCTCAAAAAAATCCAAGCAAGTTGATTTTGAGATCTTCCAGGGTCTCTTATCTGATGAAAAGCTACCCTTTTATAATTAAATCCTGTTTAATCATAAGTACACTGTACCTTTACAAGAAATAGAAGCAACTTTTGTAAAGTTAGTAGATGATGAAGATAGTAGTACTGGCTCAAAATGCACAGGTGACATTTCTTTTTCTGACAACTGCCGTATTTCCTGCATGAAGACAAGACACAATAATCCTTGTAGAAGTACTAACATTATTAGCGTAGCTCCTGTATTAGTGTATCTTCTTGTCAAATTTGCTAGCTAATATCTGCCATTTTCTCACATCTTTTAAATGAACCCAGGATTTTTATTCAAGTTAACAACTCTTATGTCTCTTAAAGAAAAAAACATCACTGAACTACACATCATCATCAAAGAGATCTATTAGATATCTGGGCACCTTTAAAAATATACAGGCATGACATTTGCTACCAGAAAAATCAATCTGCTATTACAGAGTAAATCAGTGGGCTAATTAATTCCCCAATCAAATTCAAACCCCTAAAATATGACTTCCTTATGCTCACAATTACCTGTATATGTACAAGGCTGCTCCCAGAATGCATGACGTATACATCTACTGAGGAATCACCTGTCCAAAAGAATGAACACTGATGTAAGTTGACCAAGGACAGAAGCTCTCTTGCTTTGTCAGATACTCATATGAGAAGCAATCCCGATTTAAGTGTAAGAATCTTTGTACGACAACTACCCTTGTAAAAAGGAGGAACTATTCACATCTTGAGCTGGCAACCATTTCATAAAGGAGTAAAAATCCACCCAAGCATTTTGGCCATAAATGTGAAGGCAAACATCAACAGGGAATCTTCCTTCATTATCTCCTAAATCCAAGATGGAACATTACTACCCCTTTCCTATGGGCAGAGAAACAGGAGGCAGAGCTAAAGGAAACAATGATGGCTGATGCTACCATGACTTTCTAGGTTTAAGGGCCAACCCATCAGTAGCATGGGATTGTCCAGTAAAAACTATTCTGTATGCATATACAGCTAACTCAAGATCCTGGCACACTGCTTCAAACAGCAAGCATTACCAGGAGACAGCGAGAAGCTGGATTAGATCCTTAACACCTTTTGGGCTTAAAACAAGAATTGTCCTATCAGCTGGTAGGGTAGTAAGTAATCTGTTGACTAGAGCAAGAGGATATGGGTATAATTCAGCTTTCACCTGCCAATGAGATGGTACGACTATACTGGCTAACCACCCTTCATCACTGGAAAAGTTATGTTCCCATCCACAGGACACTACAAACATGCAGAGGACCAAAAGAAGAGCAGTGGGACAGAACAAGAGGTGACTATTACACCAGGATGGTCATCCCACTTCCATGATGGAAGACTACCTGAGCTTTTGCCCTTGCTTATACTTTAATTACATTAGTAGATGTAGGCTGACATAAAAAGACATTCTCCCAATTCATCCGGCACAATTTCTAATAATCAGTGTGCTTTGCTCAGCTGCTTGAAAGCAACACTACAGGTGCCAGCTTCCAAAAGAGAAGCTGGTTCAAGATACTGACTTTGAATGAGCAGATGGCCCACATACCCACAGCTGCTTAAAGCACATAGTCGTCAATCTTTCCAGGTGGCTAGTTCCCCTGTGCAGACCTTGCCTATCTGCTGTCCTACTCTAAGTGCAAACACACGTGCTGTACATGGAAGACTAACACAGCACCGTATTCCCTTTTGCTAGATCTTTCTCTCAAGACCACATCTCATTTGATTATACAAATCAAAGGCAAGCAAGCACTGCTGTTTGATATGGTAAAGCACCATATCAAATGGAGCAAGACCAAGAACTTCCCACTGACAGCAAGTCCAAGGGCTAGACAACCTCCAACGTAGTGAGGACTTATAATTGCATTATATTTAATAAAAAACAGTCTTAAGAGCACACTTCTATTATTTAACCATCAAAAGTGTTAACAGTAAGCACCCTTGACATAACAGATGTGAACAATTCTCTGTCAGCATCAGAATAAACGTATGCCCACAACTCAGCAAAACAAAGCACTGGCATCTCACTGGCAAGGAAACTAGGTTTACAGAGGGTATTTCAGTTTCAGCTCTATGTAAATATCACATCTCAGAACAGGCACCAGAAAAAAGCATATATTGTTTTGTGACTAGATCTTAAACAGAACTTCCCAAAAGAAAAGAGATCATGTTCTTTTTTCACTAGTATGTTAAAAAAATATTATTTTAATATGGATTCCTAAGCAGTTCCTTCTTCTTTAATCAGAAAGTAAAACCGGCAGAAATGTCTAAAAGAAACTATTCAGACAGACTGCAAAGCTCCATAAGTAATGTAAAATCCCCTGGATTTAGAGGATTTGCTCACCCAAATGATGTAGCATAAAAAAACTGCAAGGAGTTGATTGTTTTGCCTGTGGAATTCTAGCTTACAGGAACAAATGATGCGCACATCTGTATTACCTCAATACCCTGCTTTCCACAACAGCTACTATTCCCAGTGCCGTACAAACCATTCTGCCTTCACAGTTCTATTATGGTCTATTTAATTGTGAAACCAGAAATGCAGCTGTAGAAATCAAAGGACCATGACATTTTCCCATACTATGAGCGACTACAGAATGAAACAGAAGTTTACAACTTTACAATCATTACCTTCATAAAGAGCACTGTTGCTCACAGTAACTGCCTTAAACAAACTAGCTGACAAGCTGTGTTCAACTAAACTATTAACACTTAGCTTTTCCCCTTACTTGCACAATTTGGCTGCCACTGAATTTGACTAAATTTAGCACATCAAATAGCAACTTATGTATAAAACCAAGTTCTATTACAATTAACAACCATACTTAGGACTTACCCAAGGTCTTCGTATTTTCCACTGCTACATAAACTACAAAAAGATTCTCCAGTAAGTATTGTCTGTGCTCCACAAAATCTCGTTGGGCATTTTCCATTCTTACCGTTAAGCTCATTTCTAGCAGCACTGGGTCATCAGACATAAAACAGCAACTCTGGAGCGAGACAAGGGGATATGGTGTGTATGTGGTGTGAGAGGAGAAAATTAGTGCAGTAAGGTATTTTTAGAAGTTAATCAAAGGTATTAGCTAACAGAGAAGGTTACCAGCACTTTGGCACTGGCAAAACAGGAGTAATTAGGACCTCAGCTAAAATCTCAGCAGAAACCAAGGACAGTGTGGGTACAAGCAGCACAGCAGAAACAATGACGAAAAACAACTGAAAAGGACACTGAGCCTTTAAAGAATGCAAATTTATTAACTGTCTTAGTCAGTCTCACCTCAGGGACTGCAAAACAGTTTCCTTTGTTAAATCCTCTGCCTTCAATAAAATGTGCCATAAACAGACTGATGCATGTGTCTTAATGGTAGGAAGACAGCTCATGTTCACTGGTCTGTTTATAGTTAATTTTTCCAAATCCTGTGTTTTTTGTCTCCATTTCTCACTGAAGTAATTTTAAAAAAACAAACATACATGTACAATTCTTAATAGAAAACACTGTCGTCTGGCTAGAATACTTCAGATAAATACAAATAGGGTCTTACTGCCTTCTGTAAGTAGTGGCTGCTGTTAAAGACAGCTGAATCTCAGCAACTACAAAGACACAGACACTATTTCACAAAAAAATCATGCCAACAATGAGAAACAAAACTAGATAGTCAACAGTGAATAACATAAATTGGTCCTGCATCACACCATGAAGGTCGTTCGGCTTCAATGCCCCACCAAGAGGACTAGTTTGCTCAGGAGGAAGAGGAGAAAACCACTCCTGGCACGTGAATTGCTCTCATGAAGCAGTAGCAATATACCTTCAGCTAATCTGAAGTGTCGTAAGGAGGTACAGTGGGAGTAGGGAAGAGTCTTTGGTAATGGAATGCCACTTCACTGCTCAAACAGCATCAAAGAAACCATCAGCACATGAAATGGCTGTAAGGAGCAGGAAAGGAGGCCACTGTGGAAACTGAAGCACAAGGATGCTGTGCCCCTGGAAAGCTCACACCAAAGAGCAAGCAGCCACACTACATGCAATCTCAAAAGTTCAGGTGCATCTCAAGCTTAGCCTTATTCACCAATGTAATGGAGTAAAACAGCACAGGGTCACTGTGACATGTAACGTACAGGAATACAGCTATAGAGTCCAGGCCTTGTCACACTTGATGGAAGATGCTGTAGACCACAGCACAAGCCTATCTATCTGAGCCAATCAAATACCCCGTTGAATACAACTAGCACTGTGAACCAATACCCATTCACTGTGCAAGGACATTTAAGGAGAGAATGGAAGAGGAGAATCAGATAGCACTGCCCAGGAGGATGGAGAGACCTACTGTCCTGAATGCTCAGAGGTTTTGAAGGGGGCTTTTCTGCTAGCAAGCTCACCCCTTCTCAGCTCTGCCCAATGCCAAAGCCACCTTCAAAGCTTCTTGAGCACAGAGCCCAGACTTCAGTTTTCCAGGTCATTGATTTCTTGTGAGTGTGAATCAGAAACCTGTGAAATGTTTCTGCAGAAACGGAATTAGAGGCATCTAATCACTTTTGTACCTCATAGAAGTCATGTAACATCTACACATTAAAACACTTGGCCTGCTGGTTTGGTCTTGAGGGAGGGGGGGCATGGAGGTATTTGGTGTCTTTTTCCATCTCCCCTCTTCTAAAGGTTATAGCGTAATGTATGTGACATTTCATGTATACCTCAGGGTACAGTTTTATAAAGGCATAGGTAAAAGCACAATTTCCCTTTAAATTAAGACACTGGATATTGCATTGTTGCTAAAACTTCTAGAGCTGTAGAAAGTGCCCCTCTGAAATAAGACTTAAATAGGTATAAAATTATAATAAAACACACCTTAACTTGCTGATATGCATCATTAGGTAAACTGCATTCAAGGTGAACACGTAAGAGACTGGCATTTGTAGTTTCTGCCTGTAAGAAAGGAAAGTGAAGAAAACATCAAACATCTGATTCAAATGTGCTTCAAATCCATTTCACATACCACAATTTATAAGGATAACAGGACTGTTTCCACATATGCATGACACAAACATAAGAAAACTTTAAAAAATAAACACAATTGCTCTATACAGTAGGTGAATAATCAATCTCCAATTCTCAGGAACTCTGTCAATACCTGCTTACTCATAAAACTATTATTCTACATGAATATTAAATATTTGTACAGCATCAACATGAGCAATGCTTATAAACTTTCATGTTTCAATAAACTGTATTCAAGAGAGCCTTTTCTGTGTAATATAAAAGCTTCTTTCCTTGTTTTTCTGTGTATTTTTGTTGTTGATTAGATACTACCAAGAACAAAGTGCTTCTTGGACATGGCCTGATACATAGGCTTCATGCCAAAATGGACAGACAGAAAATACTTGTTTTGCCTTTTTGTTCATCTGGAAAGGGGAAAGAGAAGACGACACTGATTGTGCCAGCTTGTAAAGCACTCATAAATCTAATGGGGCAACAGCACCAACAAAGCCCAGTATAGTTCATGAAAGCTCTTTGGAAATCTGGACTGCCAAATTAGTTGCACAAACTGCTCAGCCAGAATATCTTGATACTAAATTAAAGACAAAAATAAATTAGAATGCCTGACCTGTCACTCTATCAGAGCCTCAATTACAGCAAAACTAACTAGTGATTTTGAGACTTACATGGAACTCCCCCCGGTTTCTCTTGCGATACTTAACTAAATATCTGAGTGGGGTATCTGCAGGTTCAACCTTCTGCACATGTCAATGCAATTGACTTTAAAGAATGTCAATAACACTAATTATTGACAATGTCAATATTGTATTAGTATATTTCTAATAATTATAATTATACATTATCATATACTTATAGCAATGATCATTACTATATATTATGTCAATATTGCAATATGTTTATATAATGTCAATAATGCTGAAAAGCTAAACTGTGAATCAAAGTTTTTTTTCAGTATCCAGCACCCTATTTGCATCGCCCTGGGACAGGCAGAAGGGGGCAGGGTGCACCTGAGCAGAAAGCAGATTTACCACATGCGTGGCATTTCATGGGGTCCAGTCTTACACAAGCACAGTCAAAAGGAAGCCAATATACAGACATTCTGCATTCCCGATTCAAACAAATTTCATACCAAAATGACTGGGACCTCACACAAGAGGGCGATGTAACCTCTGCAAAGGTGGAGATGCACATCCCAAACCCTGTCCCCATCGCAGCTCTTAGGGGAACATGAACGTCTGCCACCCTTCTTTTTGACAAATGCTTTTGTCCTCATCAAATTTTAATAGCAGAAATAAAACCCCATTCCGTTCCAAAACATGCACCACTTACTAACCTCTCACAGCCATGACTGCTAGTGTAGTTTTAATGAGGCAGTAAGACTACACGGAGAGCAATTTTGGGGATGCTCTTCTGGTAAGACAAACCTTGATGCTTAGGGCTTCCTTTCTCAGTGGTTCTTGAGAGATTACTACCACTTTCCCAGTCCTACATGAGGAGTTGTTAGCCTTTATTCAATGCCACTGTAGTTTAAAGAAGTTTAAGACCGCATACCCCTATTAAAAAAGCTAGATCATTTTTCCAAACTTTTTTTTTTCTACTTTTGCCATGGCATACCTCTAACATGAAAAACTGCCGTCACCTTAAAACTGAAGCTGCTGATGTACCACACAGAGATGAAAAAAATGCAACTGGGGTGTATTTGATGGTGATCTGTTTTCTGCACGACTGCCACACACACACACTCCTCCCCCACCCTTGAGAAGCTATCTTCAGAAAAGGAAAAGGGTTTGCATTTATCTAAGGCAGACAACAGATGCATAACTGTCATGCCCACTATCTTACAGCACTGGTAGGACAGCTGTGTTAACCATAAAGCGAAGATAAAGCATCTGTGAAGAAAACACTGTCAGAGGCTGACTTTCCAAGACAAACCCAGGACCATGTCCACATCTCCCAGCAGCACAAGCACTCCATTTACACTGTAAATATCACTGCCTATGAATCAGAGCAGGGAGCTGAGTTATGCAGCATACGTTTGCACCAGAGAACTGCAACAGAGAGACACAGCACAAGGAAAAGTCAGAGAGAGTGCTACAAAGCAGTACAACCACTGCCACATCATTACCTGATGCCTCTATTTTGTATATGCAAGCATATATACTTGTGCATACACACACTCTCAGCACACACAAATCCTATGTGCACTGAATAGAGAGGTCTGATAGAAGCCACACAAACTAACTTGCCAGTTTTGGCAAGTTCTTACATTTTAAAGAAACAGAGGCCTCTGTCAAAAAAAAAAAACAAAACAAAAAAAAACAAATAAAAACCACCCTGCAAACCTGAACCATCTGATCTGCAAGGAGCTCCACTCTTCCCTTCTGGCAAAGGTCTAGGATTCCCACTGGGGGACACTACAGTAGGCAATTACTTAGGAAATAATTTACCGACCAAAAGAGAGACGGAGCACCCACAGGACAGCTGGCACGGGCCAGTTCAAAAGCCACCAAGCAACCACAGACCCAGAGTCACTTTTAGGGAAAGAATTCCTTATTCTGCCTTAGGTGCCTGCCAATGGCTCTAAACAAGATTTTCAGAGAGATGCTCATGCATCACAATTTGGACTGTACAGTTCAAACCACTTCCTGGGGTTTGGCTACAGTATAATCAAAAAAGAGCAAGCATTGAACAAGCCTCCCCTTCTTCCTGCAGGCTGATACTTCAAAGTTTCTGTCCTGGACTAGCCCTGGCCCTAAAGAGCTTTTTCCACTCTGAATGGTGTTAATTAACTGTCCCTGTAATAATGATTCAGCAGGGTTTCATCGGTTTTTTGCAGGCAG